AAATTTTGAAATACAAGAACAGGAATCTTAGCATCATTTAAAACATTTTTGTAAATGGAAATATATCTACTACCAACCACTGCAAAAAAAAGGCTATTTTTAACTGAAAGTAATTTGAAATAAAAAAAATATCCTCTTTTTCAGCCTATGCCTCTTCAGTTTGCTCTCCTGTCATATGTCTTCTAGCTGCTTGTATTCAGTTAAGTGCGAACTGCTTTCAAGTACGCCTCGAGAGGAAAGCGAAGAATATTTTATCTAATAGAAAAAGAAAGGTATGTTTTTGATACGTCTAATCCTCTTTCACGAGTGGATTTTATAAAATATTAACCATTTAAGCAATTTAATTTTTTAGAGTTTGATGCTAAATATTTGAAACTGATACAAAAATATTTTATGTTAAATTCATAGAAAAATTTCGGTTTAGGACTCTATAGAATTAGGAAACAAAAAAGCATTTTAAGTAATTTTAGGCAGTTTTGTTTTATTTAAAGTATTTAATAGAAGTTGAGGTATTTTAAAGTATGCTCGAGAACTAGCTAATTCAGTTGTTGTGGAGGCATTTTTATCTGACATGCTTCTTTTTATGTTCTGATGAATTCTGCCTATCTGTCCTTTGCAGTGCAGAACTGAAGACTAAGAACATGGCTACAAAAGAAAAGGCAGACATTTCTCAGAGAGTTGCGCTATTTTTGCACCCTACTCAAGGTCTCGATTCAGAATGAAACACAGCTGCCCTTTTCCCCATAATTTTTCTGAAATTCTGGTTTTAAGTTAAATATCTTTTATCGAAAATTCGTCCACTAGTAATTTTCATATATTGTGTTAAAATATTAAATAAATTTGGTGCTCATTTTTTTAAATTATATTGTTGGCTGTTATACGTTCATGGAGCTTTTTTTTTAATTAACTACACATATGAGCAGTAATAAATTGAAATAAATAATAATAAAACTTGCTAGAAAATAATAAAGAAAAAAATCTGAAAGCTTTCAGATTTTATATTGCGCCCAAAGGTTTTTTTTTTTTTTTTTTTTTTTTTTTTTAACGTTTTGTCGGTGACCTTTATTTATTAAATATCGTACTTAAACTATAAAATGCACTGAAACTATTCTTCGCACTTAAACAATAAGATTCAGTTCAATAGAAATATCGCAAAGTAGTTTTAAAAGGAGCATATCCTGTAGAATTTCCGATACACAGTCTCGCACACTGGAGATAAAAATGTCCCCCCCCCGTACAGTATTGCCATGGCTTGCTTTGGAATCGTTGAGTTTGTTAATCAAAAATTCGTTAAAGTGTACAAAATAGGAAATCAATAATAAAACAAATTCCAAATTAGGGCTTCCAGATACCTATATTCGCGGAGGATTAGGTTATTCAAAATTCGATAGTTCTAGGGTACCGTCAGTGGTAGAAACATACATACATTTATGCAGATATTTTATTATTTAATTTCTTTAAATATAACACAAGTGAAACGAACATCTAAAGTTTTGGACGCAAAATGCCAAAATGAAATTAATAGCTCTTCTCGCTAATAAATAAATATTAATATTAAATGAATAATAGGTCGTGTAACACGACAAAAATCTGAAAAGAGTACAGATAAGACAAATTCTCCTTAGTTTTGGAGGAACATACAGTTGCAATCACTCGCAGAACAAAGTCTGTAATAATCATCCGAACAGGTGCTCAACAGTCGTACCACTCTGGAAGGAATAACTGAACTCATAAACTGGGTGCTCCAACGCAATCAAGATTTATATCGTGTTCAAAAGGTACAGGTTACTTACAAAAGGTACAGGTTACCCGCCTTAGTAGAAGGGGCTGAGTCAAATTCTGGTAACGATGCTCATAACAATCCTTCAGTCAAGTAATGTTGCCATTCTCGTATGCGCTGTTCATATTGTATTCCAACGGTTTTTATTGAAAATTCGTGATACTTTTTAGCCTTATATTCAATTTTAAAAAATGGGCTTTCGGAATTTGTCAACAATGGGAAAAACTGCGTTAAAAATGTCTGCCGGAATATAGTTTTCCATAAAATCGCTAAAAAGAACAAAAATGAGTTTCATTCGGTAAATAGCCAGTGATACCGAGATTTTCCGAGTTGGCCACTTTGTGCAGTTCTTTGTAATTCTCTGTTTTTTTTAAGCGAAAACTAACCGCTGAGTATAAGATGAGAAGAAAAGCCCGAAAAAAATTGCTAAAAATTTAAGCGAAACATGTGTTTTATTTTTTAATGCATTATATAATCCTTATTTTATAATTAAAATGTGTATTTTAAGTAGTCAAAGTGTGTCTTTTTTTCATATGTTGATGACTGACAGAATCTTTTTAAAAATATTGTGAAAATTATCAGCTTTCACCCGATAAGTAACTTTTACTTTTTCATTTATAAAAAGTCGATAATTGCGTCAAGGTGATTGCTTTAATACGTAAGTACTGGGGATAATAAGCATTTCCGGATGCTTCGAAAACCATCATTCCTAATAGAAAATGCGCTCCCTGAAATTTCTATAACTTTGCCAAATTCACCAAGTATCTGCAGTCTTTCCTGGGGTCTGAATTGTGTCATAATTCGAACGTTTATCATTTCATAATTAAAATATGTACAAAATAATACATGAAATGAATATTTACAAGCACAATGAAAGGTAAATTAAACAAATATAAGCAATTAGAATTGTTATATAAACTATAATAAGTAAATAAACGAAAACAATATTAACCAGTATTACAATAATAAGTGAAACCTAAATTATTACAAATACAAAAATGTATAACTATATCTATGATGTTTATGCGGAACATTCATTAACTTTATAGGTTTCTTTCACTTGTCTAGAGGCTAATTCAGTTTCTATGATTAAAATGGTTCCTGAAACCCTTACCGGGGGGTGGGAGAAAGCGCAGAATCAAAAAAATTTAAAAATAAACTCTAAAAGGCTTTAGATTTTAACGTTCGCCCAAAAGGGCTGTTTTAATGTTTAGTATGCTTTATCAGAATAGATTACCAATAGACTGTCCAAGTGGAATAGCGAAAAATTTTATAGGATACTAGGTGATAACAATTAGACTAACATGGCAACGCTATGGATCTTGTATGTATTTGAAAAATGAAAATATATGTAACGTAATTCTATAAAAATATTTCATATTTTAAAGACATTTTATCCAACTGAATTAAATTCAAAAGTTAAAAAAGATAATACTCGTAAAAACTGCATCTATTGCTTTTAAACAGCTTGGTTTATTAGTGGAAGTACCCCATGCAAGTTAAGTTATATTGACAGCAATGTATCTAACAACAGAGAGAACGATATCGCTGTAATACTTCTCTAATAACGATGCAAAAAATGCCATTCATAGTCACACATTTTTCAGTCTGTTGCAATATAGAAACCACATAAGAAATTTCCATAGAAAAATAAACTAATTTTCTCTCATTATGTCAGCAACGATGGCATGCAGTTTTTAATTATTTTCGTCTTTCTGATCAATGGTCATAAAAAGCTCAAATTCCATCCAAAATTTTACCTATATTCAATTTTATTCGATTAAATGCGGCAAAAATTGATCATAATTGATCAAAAATCAATAACGCGAACAAACAAATTAAGCGCAGAAACATGCATTCTTCTTTATATATATGTAACTTTGAAAGACCGAAATTGGAGAATGTCGACTTTCACCGGAGAATATCAACATTTACCAAACGCGTTGGTGAAAGATCGAATATTGCATTACATTCTTGTACATTCGGACCCTCACCGGTGTATGTTGACAATCACAGATATGCTCTGGTGTAGGTCGAAAAGAGAGGAGTATATGTACATGCTGTCATGCAAAAGGAAGTGTTCCACATAAATGAGTTGTAAAAGCAAGGCCTCTTGGCAGTTCAAAGGTCCTAATAGTTTAAGTTGTTGCAGTAAATAAGATTTGAATCGCATAATTTAGTAAGTTTTTTAACTTCTTATTTTCCTTTCTCATTTTGAATGTATACTGTCTGTTAAGTTCTTATGTTCTTAATTCTCGTTTTCAGTCTCAAGTGCGTTTTTCGGACTGATTACGAGAAGAAATATAAATTTATATGTTCAACATTCACCATAGCACATAGTGAATGTCGACATTTACCGGTGTAAGTCAGAAATAAGAGTATTTGGAAAATATTTCGGACATGCACCAAGCGACTATGTGAATGTTGACATTCACCGGTGAAAGTCGATATTCTCCAGATTTCGGTGTTTCACCGTAACATATATATATAGATTTTGTAAAACTTACAAATTTTTGATTTACAAACTCTACGATTTGAAAGCGGGCAGTGGCAACACTTTTCGAAATAAAGCATTTTTATCTCCAACGCGCGTCACTGTTGCTACTCGAAAAATGCGGGCGAAAAGTGGCGTTTTCAGAGTTTTTAATTAATATCTCTGATTTTAGTTACGTTCTTTAGGGAGAAGTGGATGTCTGCCTTTCCCAGGTCTTAGAAAAAAATTGTAGAAAGTTTGGTGACGATAGTTATAGTAGTGACTGAGTTAATCGCGAACAAACGCACATACATTCTTCTTTATATATATATACATATTTATAGCAAGATAGCAGGCAGATAAAATTTGAAATGTAATTATCCTGCATTTTTCGAAATGGCAAAAGACGTGAATGAAAAGTGAAACAACGCGTTTGGAGGCTACTAGTGCACAAAACTTTGTAATAAACGATAGCCCAGCCGTTTTGCAAGGCTTCGCACCCGAATTGAACATTTAGTGTTCAATGGTTTTATCCAGTAGGCAAGTGATGGCCCATTAATGGATCCGATTTGTTTTGAATATCCATGATTTTTTCCCTTAAAAGTGTAGAACGTTCTCTTGTAAATTTCTAAACCATATTAAATACTCTATTCGCCAGAATTCTTTTCTACGAACACCCTATAAAAATAAGTTTTTACGTGTACGCCACTTTTCATTCACTTTAATAAACTCACTTTCATAACTTTTCCCCCTTATTTTTTTTTTTTAAACTCGAGAAATGTATGTAAAAGATACGTGCTAAGACCGCTGAATATTGATAACTCAGCCAGGATTCATTCGCTCGGGTTTTTGTTTTCATGGTTTCCCCATGTGAAACGTGGGAAACAGTTCTCGTAAAAAATCCTCCAGAAAGGCATCCGCCCTCTTAGGCACATAACCCTCGTGGTTCTTTGCCATATTCAAGTAACTAACCAATTGATAAGTGAAGGATCGCTACTCAAAATACTTAATAGTAAGATTTTCTATTGCTCTGCACTATATTGCACTATCCGAAATGCTTTTTTTATTAAAACAGGTCTGTTAAAATTTTATGTTTATGGCTCTTTAGATTTCACGTAATAGCACCTGGTTTCTTTTCCTTTCAGATAAATGAAAATGTACCACACTCCTATAATTGGGTTTTCGGCCGGGAGGAGAAGTCATTAGAAGATGATTGCACTAGCTTTAAAACAGCTTCATTTTCGGAATCGTCGACTTCTTCAGGTGACTCTTTCGGGGAAGAAAATACCTCGATTGACATACCCCTTCAAAAATCTGTTAAAATGGAAAATTTCCAATCATCCGATGAAGTCTTTCAACGAGAGATATCCTACAGTGACTTCATAATGTTTGAAAAATGCTCACTACCACTGAAATTTTTACAATTAAATTCTAATCATTTTAACTTGAACGCTGAGACAACTTGCACATTTGCAACCCATTCAGATGAAAGAAAGCACCTCGTGCATGCGCCAGCAGTAAATGATAAGCTTCAAAAGAAACAGTCCGATGATACGAATGAGCTAACTGAAAATTTAGTTTTGGAGAGGTGTTTAGAAGTTGAAGAGACACTTAAAGCTGAAAACTCTTCAGTTTCAAATGAATCTCCAGATTTGGATGATTCTGCACTTGATGATTCCAGTTTTGATGTATCTCAAACCCCTTTCTGGGCGGGAGAAGTCATACCAGTGACTATAAATTCACCTTCCTCTGCGCAGTCTCTTAACCTTATAACTTTAACAAGCCCTCCAGTCTCATCCAATGCTAATGACTATACAACATTTAAAGAAAGACTTGACTCTCTCAACAAAAATGAAGTATATTTTATATCTGACAGTACAGGAGCCAAGCATGAGAGAAAATCGGTCACTTTTTCAACCTTCTTTGGGAGTAAAAATAAGGATGCTTCAACGCTAAATCACCTAGAAGTAAGTTAATATTTTTTCCATCTGCCTTTATGCCGAACGTGTGTGTGTGTGTGTGATTATGGCAAAGCCTCGAGGGCTATCTGCCTAAGGGAAGGAATGCCTTCGTGGAGGACTTTCTAAGGGAAACTGGCTCGTATACACATTACACATGGGGAAAACCACGAAAACGCCCATGCAGCCAGCCCGTTCGCGGGATTCGAACTTCGGACCGAACTACCAGTGTTCAGCGACTTTACCGCTCGGCCGCTGGTGGGCCCCCTTTATGCCTAACGATAAGACCTCTAAAAACTAGGCCTTTTCACCTAAGCTCGAATTCCAGCGAGTGGCCTAGCTACATGGAAGTTTTTATTGGTTTTTCCTGTGTGTAACGTAAGTAAGGATCCGTTCAGGCAGTGGTATAAATACATAGAGGCCTAGTCATAAGGTATAAAATGCGAGAGTTCCGTTCACACCTGTGAGAAAGGGTCTAAGCCGTAATCAATTAGAGATGCGCCAAATTCGAGCATGCATGGATTGCGTCTGCAGCTTTCTCGTTCTTTTTTTCCGCTCAATATGTTTCCCACGTTCTCTCTGATTGGTCGACTGTTATACCAAGTCCGCATAAAGACGAAATCTTTGAATTTTATGCTAAAATCCCTTTGACGGACCGGTTACCTAGCAATGAAGCAGGACAGTTATGACATTTATACCACCGTCTGAACAAAGCCTTAAAGCACAAAGACATCTCATCCCTGAGACAGATAATCACTGTATACCATAACCTGGAGAAATGCATTTACTTTCATTAGCGCATTACCTGCTCCAGAAGCTATAGTAATGACGTCACGAAAACAAAACAAAGAATGTTCAGCATTTTTTAATTTCCATGATTACTGTTCAAAAATCAAAAAGACTACCTAAAAATTTTTAGTTTCCTTTGGCCACGCCAATAGAAAAAGCCCAAAAGGTTTAAAATAGTTAAAGTTAGGTTATTTGAATATGACATAAACGGACGTCTGCCAAAGGACACGAGGGCTATATGTCCGAGGGAAGGATGACTTCGTGAAAAATTTTCTAAGAGAAAAATGGCTTGTATTCACGTCACACATGAGAAAAAACAGCCGTGCAGACAGTTCGCTCTCCTGCCTTCGAATTACGAGTCTTCATCGGTATTCACTACTTGATCACTGGTAGATTCTTAGTATATTAATGATGTAAATTTAAACAGGATGAATTTAAAAAAAAAATTGAGTGCTTAAAATATATCATTTTTCGAGCAGGCATCTTGTTTAACATAACAAAAACGCTACAGGAATAAGCATAGCCTAAGCAAATTTACATGACTTATAGTTTCGAAGATTACAAAAAAAAAAAATGGATTTTGCTTTGAGATTCAAAGAAAATGAAATTAAGAGACATGTGCCTACTTGAGAACAGCAAATTCCAGATGCTTACCTTAAATCAGCGTTTCTTAAACTGTAGGTCGGGGGACCTGCAGCAGGAGTCGCCAAAAATTTTAGCAGTTTAGATATTTCTTTAACTTATTATAATAATTTTACAATTACGAAATATTTTTACACAATGTATCTGAAAATGGATAAAGGTAAGACAATACAGGCAAAGAAAAAAAGGAAAACGCTTTGACGCATTTTTTTATAATAGAAACGTTCATTTTACTTGCTTTGCACATGACACTGCGATTTCGTATGTTACTTATTTAAAATTTTCACATTGTTCTGTCTTAAAATTAGAAATTAATAGCCTAAAAGTGAAATAGTATATTATTATAGTACAAGTGAAAAAACTGGCAGTTTCACACACGCGTATGTCGGATTTGCTCAATCCTTATGAGGTCCCACAAAATTTTCGTAAATATTATGGGGTCCTGCGGGTCGCGAAAAAATCTCAGTGATAAAAAGGGGTTGCGACTGAAAAAATTTTAGAAACCCTGCGTTAAATGATAGAAAACGGCACTATTGCGGCCATCCCCTTCAACAGAAAAAGAAAGCAAAAGCGACTAAAATTCCTGAAAAGCTAGCGGTAAAGATGGGATACATTTGTGATTATTAGCCCACCAGCGGCCGAACGGTAAAGACGCTGAACACTGGTAGTTCGGTACGAAGTTAGAATCCCGCGAACGGGCTGGCTGCATGGGCGTTTTCGTAGTTTCCAAATATGTAACGTGTATACGAGCCAGTTTTCCTTAGAAAGTTCTCCACGAAGGCATCCCTCCCTTTAGGCAGATAGCCCTCGTGTGCTTTGCCATAATTGAATAATCCAATCCAATCCAGTTGTGATTATTAAGCCGAACCGTCATCACAGCACAATTTATGAAACATTGGTCAAACAAAAAGAGCCTTTAAATTCCGCGCTAAACAGCGTGAGGCTTGTGTTCGAACAAAAGAAACTTATATTTGTTCACTGCTTGTGAAAAATAAATTTTTCGAGTGTTTGCAACCAAATTTTTCAAAAAAAATATCTTCGAACGGCAAATCAGATGTGTCAAGGTTTTCGCAGTTACAAAATCTTTCTTAGTTAATGATCCGTAATCTAATTTCTGTTTACATTCAGCTTTTCAAGAATTAGTTTATTCGTTGCTCTTTCCTTTTTCGTTCAATAGCTTGCAACTGTGTCTTTGTTTCCTAATAGTTTTTTTAAATTACTCCGTTATTCTCATGTATGAATATATCTTTTTCTCAACTCCCCTGCGTTTTCACTCCTACACCTAAAGAATATTTTGTTTAACATTTTTTTGAAGTTAGTCCTGCAAATTTATTTATGTCATACTGATTCTTGTTACTTATTATTTATCACTGGATAGTTATTTGTTATATTTTAGGAACAGTGTTTCTTTAAAATAACCTTCAATGGACAAAGGCTGTGTGCTCGAGTATAAGAAGCATACGTAAGATTATACGAATTTATAAAAAGTTTTGAATTCTATGTCTCAGAACCAGTTGATTTACACTCCCTGTTGTACTTTTACTTCCTTGTACGAAGTAAAAGAAGTATTGTAATCGTGAAAAATTTCCGGTATCATATTTCAATGGCAATATCCGTTTTGACTGCTCTCGAATCCATTTAAACGATGTTTTTGAGTAGCATTTGTATATACGGAGAGAATAAAGTACTCTGTTTACCAAAACGATTGAAAAATGGATTCAGAAGAAATTTTTGGTGACACCTATATGTTCGTATGTATCTCGCATAACTCAAGAACGAGTAGCCTCAAAACGTTGAAATATTGTATATGTGATTGCTATAATGTGTAGTTGTGCACTTCCCTTTTTAGTTGCAATCAGCCGCACCAAAAATTATATATATATATGTACCCGTCTCGGTGAGCTCAGTTTTTTTATTCTTATATGTTGGGTTTTTGCTTCAAAAGCGATTGAATTATGTTCTTATGTTCCGATTAAGGTTTTTATACCTTTAGTTAATCTGCATGCAATAGTTGTAGAATTATCAACAATTTAAAAGTTGTTTAAGTGCTACTAAGCTAACGAAACCGCCATTTGTTTACATTGAAACTCTTAGTACAACAGTGAATTCAGTTTCTGCACCTTCAATTTCTTTTTGCCGAGTGGGACCAAAAGTAAATTTTCAGTTTTGTGCACCGTTAAATCTGCATTCTTGTTCGCTGTCCGAATTGCTTGTTTTTGCGTAGAAACTCTAAATTTGTAAAAATGTTTTTTAACTGTTAATTGTAAAAATTTCTTAACTAATTTTTTAACAATTAATTAAGTTTTTTAATTAATTGTTTTTTTAACTGTATTTGGTGTTTTATATATTTCTGTATTTTACAATTTTCAATGAAGATGTTTTGAGTTTTGTATGTGTTTACCTTGCCTTGAAGTGAGTACTGAATGAATTGAATGAGGAATACATTTCTAATGAAATTTCAGGAAATGAGTTTAAATAAAATGCAGGAAAAAATGTGTATAATTTAATAAGCCGTACAAGGAAATCATGTGGTTTCCACATCAGATTTTTTTTTTTCTCAAAATCTGAGTGCTTATTGTATTAACACATTTTCTCAGTATTTTGTAAAATGTTTCAAAAACAGAAAGTAAACTGATTTGCGGCATGTCTTCATCCAAACAGAAACTTCTCTGCACAAAACAGCTAACGCCACAACAGAAATACGCTCCAGGCATCGTTAGAAGGAGAAATCTTCAGTCTCTTAAACGAGTCCAGTCTCTTGTCATTATCTTCTCTACATGCAAATAGTTTAAAGATGTTCACATAATGGACGTCGTTCACTGTCTGCCCATGAGTGTCCGATGTTGAAATTTGTAAAATTGCCATTTGTTTATTACTCGTATTTTACCGCCTTGACATGCTTTTTATCATTAAAATACAGAAGCTTGGCCAAGTATTTAAATCATAATATGCATACTGCAAATATTTCGTTACATATAATTTCAAATATAGTACAAAATGCAATCACATCTATAGTCTGTATTCGAGATATCTGCCTCTCCAATCACGACAAAAGGTTCTTCCACTCTAGCTTCCATCAAATACTACCAATAGCTATCAAAGGCTGAAAAAACTTAAAACCTTTAAAAAACCTGGTAGAGATTTGCCACGTCTTACTCTTACAATATGGAAGAGTTTGGTTTTATTTGAATATGGCAAGGAACTCAAGGGCTATCTGCGTAAAGGGGAAGGCTCGTGTATACGTTACACACGAAGTAAAACCATAAAAATTCCCTGGCAGTCAGCCTGTTCGCCGGAAAAGAACTGCCAGTAATAATCGGGAAAGAAAAATATAAAAAGGTAAGTTTCAAAGCTTTGCAGTCAGGACATTTACCTACAGGGAATAAAGAAAAGTGCATGAAAATGTAGTACGAATACCAATTTTCTATATAATATATGTGGTGTCACTAACTTCATGAGCAATGTTATATGTAATTTATGTGCTTTATTGACTTCACAGGCATCTTTTTCTATAATTTATTTTTTAATGAGAAAAAATTGTATTTCAGGTGGATTCAGAAGTTCAGCCTTTTGACGAGAAGGCAAAATCTACACAGTTGGTCCTCAACGAAGTTAACATAGGTCAGATGGCAGTATCCTCAAATAAAAACTCAATCGTTAAAGAAAGGACTGATTTTGTAACAGCCAATAGAAAGCCTTTGTATTCCAAAGAATGGCCTTCTATGGAATTCGATGCCTGTATGAAAGGAAACACTTACTCGCGAAAGAATCATATTAGGAAGTTATGGTAAGGAAATAATATTTTCTTTGCTCCTACAAAAGTACTTTGAAATGAGGTGCTTTCTAAATGAAGATTTATGTATCTTCTACGTTGCTTCGCATATAGCCAATTCTCAAAATACTGCCGTTCTGCAAACTATAGAATCTTAATTTATCTTTGAAATTTAATCAAATTAATTTGTTTTACTTGCGGTATTTAAAAGTAATAATCGTATTTCTTAATGATGGAAACATTTATCTTAAATACTGTATTTAATATAATTCAAAAAACATTTTAAAACATAACGAATTCGTAATTTTATGAGCAACTGTACCATTATTATAATTTTAAAAAAATGTTTCTAATGACCTAATAGGCATAGAATCCTTTGAAGTTTCGATGTTTTTACATTGTGCCATAAGATAGAGGTAAATATTTGCAGAAATGATTTAGTTTGGTTTATCTGATAATGGTAAAATACCTTCTTTCGAGAAAACGTCCATGCAGCTAGCCTGTTTGATGGAATTTGAACCTTACTCGAATTACTTGTGTTTAGCGGTTTTATTCATTCTGTCACTAATGAGCTATCATCAGAAAGGCAGAATTATATAAAATTTAGTCTTTGATTTTTTTTTTTTTTTTTTTTTTTTTTTTTTTTTTTTTTGTTGGCAGTTTGATTTTTTTGCTTGCAAAATGTTGGTATAAAATCATAGATTTGGGTGGCGATTACTCACCGCACTAAAGGTACTTGCTTTCATGTATTCTTACTAACATTATTAAGAACGTTTTTTTTGGTGGAAAAACAGATATTTAATTACATGTAAATAATGTAATAACACTTTTTAGAAGTAAATCGCAACGTTTTTGAAAACCACATGCTTTTAGAAGCCAATTGAAGGTGAATACTTAGGCACAAAATTTTCCTTAGAGAATCAAAATGGTATTTCTGAATGATGATTTTGGGTGTTTGAAAGATACCAGGGGATAAGTGAAAGCTTCTTTTAGAAGTAAACTTTCCGACTGACCTTGCAATTTTCCGCAAGTATTTTTTCCTTCCAATTTATTAAGACATTTAAGACTAGGACTTTAAGACATTTACAATCGGCCAAGAAATCTATGAAAAATAAACTGCAGGTTACCTAAGATAGAGAGAGACGAGGGAAAATCAAACGTGCAGTGTATATTTACTATCTTCTTGTGTTTGGGAAACTGCAAAAAGAGTTCATCGTATCCGTCTTAAACAGTAGGAGTTCTAACACTACAACAGACTCTGTCACATTTGTTATCTGGCATCCAGGGTTTGTCCCCACGGGATATTTTAGTAAATCCATAGTTCTCTATTCATCCTGAAAGATCTCCATTACAACAAAACGGGCAATAACAAGCAAAACGTGACGGATTACCTGAAATAATCCACTGCGTGACTGCAAAGAGTGTAAGATGCGAATCTGATGGTGTTTGTGTTCTTAAAAGAACAACTTTATAGCTGGTTATATGGATGTAGATTAGCTATAGATTACTAGCAACAGTCTCTCCTCAAAAAGTACCATTAACCCGTTGTAATATCCAATCTTCGCAAAACTTTCGCATTTCATTGTTAAGTTGCTGCTAAAAATCGCTGAGCTTAATACATTGTCCGATATTGGTAACGTTAGTTTTGATTGAATGATACTTATACGTGCAAAAATTTAATTATTTTCCTTTTCTAGGTCGCATGTAATTGCCGACGTTAAGCGATCTTCTTCGGATTCAAATTTAGATGATGATGCTTTGACAGACGTTCTGGAACGCGAATTAGTGACAAAGCTGTTTCATGACACTATGTTCAGGAAGGTATAAATCATCTTATTCCATTAAATTTAATACTGTTGCTAATACTGTGTTCAGAATGATGGACAAACTCACGAGTAATCTTTGATAAGGTACGGCAAGGTGTACTTTTTACATTCTGCAGCCTCGGAAAATTTGTCGATCCATAGAACATGAGAGGAAATGTTGTATTCTGAATTTATACTTTAAATTAGGTTCCCAATTTTAATATTTACTGGTTTTTATTTCCTGCAGAAAACATAAAAATATTCTTATTTTGCACTGCTCTGTAGGCATGGTGGTAGGGAACTCGGCTGTCATTAACTCAGGCATCGAATACCTAAAAGAACATGAATGTTTGTGAATGTGCCTTTACGACATAAGGGCACTTAAAATACTGTTGAGCAAAAAATTATCTCTAGATGCTGGTGGTAGAAGGAGGGTTTAAGACCATCAGACCCATTCTCCTTGGTTTCATTCATCCAAATGGGGACCGAAAGTTTTCTTTCTAGAGAGTGGTGTAATTTGGTTATTCTCTGTCGTGCAACCCCGGGAACCCGGGAATGAGATGGCTAAATGACTGATGGGTCTGTTAATTCTCGATGAATGCATTAAGTTTGGAAGTATCGGCCATTTCGAACAAAAATTCTAAATTTGTTTCTTTAAGCCATAACACAGTCCCCCCTCCTGGTGATCCGATCCCTTAGTATATACAATGTCTTTACGGAAAATTTGTTATCAATTATTAGTAACCCAAATTTACAGACTTATGCTTGATCTTATTATTCCTAGAAACCATCTTCTTTTTAGTTTCTTCATTGATATCCTGAAGGGTTATAATACTGTAAAATGTTAACGAGGATGGCAAACCGGAGCATTTGATTGTAATGTAAATAAATTTTGACCCCTGAGTGCAACTGCCAGAACAGCACTTATGGCAGATATAAAAATTAATGATGGCAGATTCAAATCATGCCCTGTCATAAGAAGTTCTCAGATAACCGATCAATAAATTAAAGCATGGAACGTGTATATTGATCAGGCTAAGTGTCACCAGCCCTTAAGTTCTGCAATATTGCCATTAATCGGTTTTCGAAGTTTAAGTTTTCTGAAAAAAGAGTATGTATGAATCTATTGATCTAGAAATACATAATAGTAAAAAAATTACTATTTTCTAATATAGTACTATTGATAAAGAATTAATATATTGTAAAAATAGCTAAATTTGGCAATGTTTGGAAGAATTTAAAATTTTCAGTTTTGAAAATTTGGAACGTCGACTGGGTGATCGAGTATTGCAATAAAATTATGAACAATGACTGAAGAGATGTGTATTTTGGATTTCATTACACGCCAGTTTAAAATGAAAAAGCTTAACAGAACTGTTGAAAACTTAATCTTCAAAACATTCAGTTAGTATGCAAGAGATTTCAGAAATCATTTCGCTATGAAAAGATGTTTCATATTGTAGTTAATTTAGCGTGATACAGGTAGTACACACTTCATGAGATAACAAATGCGTTGACTAGGGACTGAATGTATAATATAGGTGAGAGGCAGTACTGATGATCAAAACACTAGTCTATTTTTATATTAGCTTCCATTAGCGAAATAAATTGAATTATAATTTTCAGCAGTCCAAGCCATGCCGGCGGCCGAGAGGTAAAACCGCTGATCACAAGTAGCTCGAAGTGCGTTCAGATCACTGTGAATGAAATACCAGAAGAAAAAAAAAATCGTGATTTTACCCATGGGTAACGTGAATATAATTTACTCTGGGGTTTTCTAGGATAAGTTATTTTTGCAGCTTTTGAAACTCTTTGCCCCAACAGCAACAACAAAATATCTTGCTTACCTTTCTTTTGGGTTGTCCAACCGGTTAGCGTCGCTGACTGCCGTGCCGAAGGGCCCGGGCTCGAATCCCGGAGATGGCATGCATGTTTGTAAATGTTTAGTGTCCGTGCAGCTTGGGGGCACTCTAAATATGCGCTGAGCCAAAAGTTCTTTCGAGAGGTTGGTGGTAGGGGAAGAGGAGTGGGAGACCCTCGGACCCGCTCCCCCAGGGTGCTCTGCATCAAAATTGAAGGCGGAACTAATCTAAGTGTCACTGTCACCCGTAAGGCGCTCAAGGCTGTCTTAGGACTAAGGGTTTCTTCCCGCAGATTCATTATTTAACGGAAGATCCGTGAATTCACTTCCAGATGATTTATCTAATTTAATTTCAAAATTTATCAGGCGAAGATTTTTTTTCTTTTTCTCTTACTTTGCCATCTGTAATTTCTCCTGCACTTTTGCATTTCAGAATTTAGATTTTGATAATTAACATAAATAAACCGTAAAGAATCTGATTATTTAGACTTAATTGCGTTAAAACTATATGGTTTGATTCTAGAAATTTTAATTCAAAGGACAGACTGCAATGCTCGCATTGCGAAAATTGATGCGAATATTTTCTTAATCCAAGCCTATCGGATGAAGGAATCGACAGAAAGTTTGCCTTTGGTAACTAAAAACACTTTATATATTTTATTTTATTCGGAGGAATTTAGCTGTCAACTAATCGCATTAGCTTTCTTTCTGAAAGTAGTGAATCCATTGTTTCATTTTGCAAATCATTCTGAAAGTTAAAATAAGTGCAGATTAGTTTTACTAAAAATTAAGGAAGATAAAAACAATTGAATTTATTCGAAGTAAAACAATTCAGAAAATATATACAAATGCCTTTTTCTCTATTAAAAGTAAATAAAATTAAATAATTTGACTGCTAAATCAGTGTGATTGGAAAACTGAAATGTACAGTTCTGACTATATTTAGTGATACAGCGCTGTTTTGGAGATTTCATGAAATTTTGAATTTTCGTTGGAAAGTTCGCTATTGGGGATAAAATTCGTCAGCAAATTTGCCATTATCGATCGACCCACCAAAGGCCGAGCGGTTAATTCGCTCAATACTGATAGTTCCAACCTGAGTTCGATTCGAGGAGAACGCGCTGGCTGTATAGTTGTTTACCGTATTCTGAATGTGTAATACAAATACGAGCCAGGTTTCCTCAGAAGGGCCTCCACGAAGGCATTTCTTACCTTAGGCAGATAGCCGTAGTTTGCTTTGCCGTAAGCAAATAAACCGAAATCATCATTAGCGCTCAAAAATCTCATATATGACAATTTACTTTAGTATTTCTATAGAAATTTAGCTGCTAAATTATTTTATTATTCTGTATTTCTTGATAAATAGATTATTATATTTTTGCAAAACACTATTTCGAATCTAAAATATCTCACTGGTACGCTCTGCTTTCGTAAAGAGAATGAGATGCGTAATTAATTTTAAAGATTGGCAAAATGCATATAAGGAAATGCAATTTTAAAAGTTTCAAATTTAATGTTTCAGGTGTTGGAAAGGAGATTAGCAGAGAAGAAAGTTTCTTCAAATCTTGACGAAAGTAGTCAAATTTGTGCTGGACGCAAGAACTTCATCGATCAAGTAGAATAAAAAGACATCCGAAACTTGTTGTGCAAGGGATTATTTATTTCGTAAACTTCCTGTGGAAAATTGAAAATGTATTTATTTTTATATTTGCTAATCAAATATTCTATGAATGTATAGTATAGAGTTTTTAAATAAAATATTTTTTAAATATATTTATTGATTCTTAAAAGTATGCTTCATCAGAACACAGACTAATGGTTTTTCCTTTTTTAACATATGAGCAAATTGCCAGAATTTAAAAATGAAAATCTTATATTTCGAAATTGCATTTGTTACTAGAAATAATTCCTGCATAAAACTCCTATATAATTTGTTAGAAATAATTCCTACAAATCTTCTCTATTCATCTACAAAAAAATAATCAATTTGCAACAACGGGAAGCGGAGGAATTTGCTTTAGTGTACGTCGGTGTTAATCAGTAAAGTTCTTAAAACCTAAGGGAGTAAAGAAATCACTGAACAAAATGCTTATTGAGTTGATAATGAAAATAGAGTATAACGTCAGATACCTAGATTAATTGGCATCATAACCCATTTGAATATTAAGAGATCTGAATAACTGTTTTCGTTTTATTTCTGTGGACAGAATACATGTTTGCTTCTAAGAAAGGTAAGATTTTTATTTTTCGTTTATCGTAATTTATTTCGGCAATCGTGCAGTTGAAGAAACTCAAATATGACTGTTACCCATAAAACAAAATTCTAAAACTTTCCGAAAAATTCGATAAGGGACTTTTAAGGAAAGGTGAATATTCTCTTCAAATTTACCAACAAATTAATCTTACACAATAGCATAAACTTTACGAGATTAAAACTAGTAATTGACTCTTAATTTGTAACACCATGGTATCCAAATTAATTTAGCTAGCTCCCTTACAATCAAATTAATGTGTCACGTGAATTCTACTATTACGAGATTAAAACTAGTAATTGACTCTTAATTTGTCATGGGATCCAAATTAATTTAGGTAGCCCCCTTACAATCAAATTAATGTGTCACGTGAATTCTACTAGTGAATTTTCATTACAAGAACTTAAATACAAACGGACACAGAAATAAAATTAATCTAAATTTATTCTATCTGAACACTTCTGAGGGTTAAATGAAGATATAAATCGAAATTAACTCTTACTGGACTGGCTAAACGCAAGTTTCTCTCAAAGGGCTAGAAATTTAAACAGTGTAATCTATTTACCACCAGAATCTACAAACTTCGTCTTGTATGTGTAAGAATCCAACGTACAGCTTACCAGTACAAACCTAGTCTTTTCCTATATTAAGCAATTCAAGATCAATATCGAAGTCGCTTATAGAGAACAAAACTTGACAAGGATGACGGGTACGGCTAGAAGGTCGAAACCCTCAACACACTCGTAACTTTGTAATAAAACAGTTTGCCATTGAAATCTACATAAATTTCGGAATGAGGAACTTCGTGGCGAAATGAGGCAGAAAGGAAAGATTTAAATTAAAGTGAAACTTCAACACAAATGCTACAAACTTATTGATGGCTGACAAGACTTAACTTTATTTCATTATGAGTTGCAACTAAAAACAGTGACAACATATTCATCGGTCTTTCCGTGGTTTTGAAATACAAAAAGCTAAAATATATATACACAAAATAAATATATTTAAGAGCTACATAACCTAGCTCCAACTTCTTTTGCGACCTCAAAGCATACATATTACATAAAGCCAGAAAGCACATATGGAAACCATCTTGGATTAAAGAGGGGCGTTTCATGCAAGGAGGTTAGGAAAAAACGGAGTAATTAGCCTCCTACGCATGCCCGTACAATGAAAATGAAACCATTAAGCGTCACGACTTATGGCCGCTGCCATAGGCGAGCTTCTGGTTGATTTTATTTATATTCTGATAGGTGATGTCTGCATGTTAGCTTTCATCATTGAACGTATATAAGTCTCTCGTTCTAATTTTAATACTTAATTATTTTCTATTTAGTACATACAAAAATCGCAAGGATTGCAAACAACTGTTCCAAATTCAATAAAATTTAAGTACATGAAATTTTATATAAATAATAACTACACGACATGGTAAAACGTAGACCACCAGTGGGAGTTTCAACTGCATTCTACGCAAATTATGCCTAAATACACTTTTCTTTGCCTCCGGACATTAATATTTGTTCTCAGAGTAATTTCATTTAACAATACATTTCGTCGTCTTATCCGTACACCTTATAGCGGCCATGATAAGTCGGTCATTTGCTGACACTTTCTTGGCTTCAATTTTGTGACGTTATGCTTACTCCATCCTTGGATTCATGTGAGAAGCTGCGTTACTGGTTGCGTTGACAAATTCCCTCTTTAGATATAGACATTCGCTCACTATTTAAATTCCATCTGATTCACATGCCAGTTAGGTTAGCTTAATTGATGCAAATAGGTTAACTATTATAGCAATTCAATTAGGATAATAATTTTATCTCACAGACAGATTGCACATTATGTAGTTATAAAAATTAAATTTTTTCTTCAAATCCGTTGACAGAGCGATGCATTTGTGCATTTAGCTACTCTTTTTAAATCTATGCTCAAAAGCAATATTGAAAAGGATATTTTTGTCCGCATATTAATAGCAAAAAGTAAAAAAAAAAAAAATATCCTATTAGCTGCATAACAGTAATTTACAGAAAACAATTTAATATTAAAGAACGCTGTAAAACGTCATTTAATGCTACAGACTACTGAAAAATATCACTGAATTCGAAAGCAAGGAAAATAATTGGTTAGAACTTCTTCTCCTTTTACCTCCTTGTACGAAGTAAAGGAAGTATTGTAATCCCGAAAAATTCCGGCTATCATATTTCAGCGAAATTATCCATTTTGACTGCTATTTAACGATTCTTTTGCGTGACATCTGTGCGTAAGGACAGAATAAAGGACCCTTTTTTCCCCAAGCGAATTATAAAACTGATTTGAAATAGATTCAGAAGAGATTTTTTCGTGCCGTCTATACGTACGTAAGTCTGTATATATATAGCTGGCATAACTCAAAAAAGAGTAGCCTCCGAACGTTGAAATTTTGTATATACGACTGCTGTAAAACGCAGATGTGCAGCTCCTTTTTGGTTGTAATCGGCTGTACCAGAAGTATATAAATATATATTTATATACACACTCTGTTACTCGGCTCCGTGAGCTCAGTTTTTTTATTCTTATATGTTGGTGAACTGTGCATAAATGATTTAATTATGTTGTTCTTATCTTCCGGTTAAGGTTTGTATGACTTTAGTTAATCTGCATGCAACAGTTGTAGAATTATCAACAATATAAAAGTTGTTTAAGTGCGGCTAAGCCTAATTTTTAACCATAGTAGCCATATTTGTTTACATTTTAAACTCAGCTTAAGTCAGTTTCAACAGGTTCAGTGTCTTTTTGCCGAGTGGGACCAAAAGGAAATTTTCAGTTTTGCACACCGAAAAATCTGCTTTCTTGCTCGCTGGTCGAATTGCTTGCTTTTGCGTAGAACCTCTAATTTTAATTGTTAGAATTTTTTTTTAATTGCTTTAACTGTATTAGGTGTTTTATATTTTTCAATTTTGAATGAAGATATACTGAGATTTTATGCATTTTTGCCTCCGAAGTAAGAAATGAATTAAATGAATAGAAATATATGTCTAATGAATTTTGAGGAAATAAGCTTAAATAAAATGCGTATAATTAAATATTCCGTGTGCGAGGAAGTCATATGATGTCCGCATCATAGTTTTTTATAGTGTGATGTTTATAAATTCAAATTGTGAACAGTTAAATTATTAACTACTGTGGGTTAAAAAACAACAAATAATAAATACTACCACATCTGCTTGCTATCTGTGTTATCCCATCCACTAAACATTTTTTCCCTCTCTTCCGTGGACTTTTATACATATATCTTTTTTTCCATCAGTCCGGTTTATCTACAGCTGATTGTATTTGATGCATTATTATAATTAATAGACTTTCTTGTACGGCCTATTAAATTATACACATTTCTTGCTGCACTTCATTTAAACTTACTTTTTGCTACTTCATTTAAACGTATTTCCTCGAATTTCATTATAGATATATTTGTCATTTAATCAATTCAGTTCTCACTTCACAGGAAGGCAAAAATACAGAAAAGCTCAAAACATCTCCATAAAAAATTGTAAAATACAGAAATACCTAAAACACCAGATACAGTTAAAATCAATTTTTACAATTAAAATTAGAGTTTCTTTAGGAAAATAATTCAGGCAATGGGCACGAGGACAAAAGTTTCGGTGCAAAATTGGAAGTTAACTTTTGGTCCCACTGGGCAAAAAAGCACTGAAGTTTGGTGCACCAGTTAATTTAATTCACTGTTCCGCTAAGAATTTCAAATGTAATCAAATGGCGGTCTCGTTAGGCTTAGCGCCACTTAAATTTTAAATTATTAATAATTCTATAACTATTGCATATAGATTATCTAAAGGCATAAAAACCTTAACCGGAGCATACGAATTACGTAATTCAATCACTTTTAAAGCAAAAATTGCACAATTTAAAGATATAAGAATAAAAAAAAAGTGAGCTCACCAAGACAGGTAAAAAAAGTAGGAATGTGTATATATATTTCTTTCAGTAATATACATACGTTTGGTGCGACTGACTGCGTCGAAAAAGGAAGATGCACAATTACATGTTACAGCAATCCTATTTCATAATTTTGATGTCCTACGACTACTCGTTTTTGAATTATGCGTGATACACACATACATGCGTACGTAGAGACGGCAAAAAAAAAAAAAAAAAAAATCTCTGCGGAATCCATTTTACAATCCGTTTTGGGAAAAAAAAAAAAAAAAGACCTTTGTTTCAGCAGTACGTACAGATATCAAGCAAAAACATTGTTCAAATGGATTCGAGAGCGGTCAAAATGAATATTTTCGTTGAAATATGATACCCAAAATTTTTCGCTATTACAATGCTTTCTTACAAGGAAGTACAAGAAAGTAAAAATATTCCTAACATTATTTATTACATAGATGATACAAATAAATTTACTTGTTTAATTTGAGATATTATACCTTTATCTATTATTTGAATGCGATAGGAAGCCAGATTATACGTAATATTATCAGCTCATTCGTACATTTGTCTTAGAATATCTTTGCATTTGTCTTAGAATATCTTTGCAGTAAACACTCAAAAGATATTCGTTAAAATAATCTTTCACAGAGTTCGCCTGCGAAATTATTTCAGAAGCAAGTAAGTGAATTTGCTACTTAGTTTTTCTTCTGGCTTTTTGAAACTCTAATCTTTTATGCATTAACGTTTATCTTATATCATTTTAGAAGTATATATAGGTAATTTATATGTAAGTTTAATATTGGTTAAATAATATTATGCACATTGTTTATATAATGACAAAAATATTTTTACCAGTCTTATTTCACAAGATTTCTGTGGTACAACGGTGACATTCAATAATTTTTTTTTTTTTTATATGGTATTATTATTGTGCATTACGAAGTTCTTTAAAATAAAATAGAATCTTTCAGAGATCTCGTAAAATGACTTATTTAGCTATTCTCTTCTCTGTATAACTTCGGTTTTAAAATGAAAATTCTCTAGAAGTATGCATTTTGTTGTCTTAGTATAAACGTATATCTGTAACAAATGCTGTTAATAATTTTTAGCCCAAAGGACCAATTTGTCCAGAAGGGCTATTAATTTCGTTTTGGCATTCTGCTTCGGTTCACTATAAATGTCGGTTTACTTTTCAAATTGTTGCCACCAAATATTAAAACACTGCATTATATTTAAAGTAATTAAGTAATGAAGAATCTGCATAAATGCATATATGTTTATTGCACTGTAAAAGAACAGCGGTATCTAGAGACATTCAATTTTGAATAACATAGTCCTCCATTCGAAATATGGACAAATTTTGGATTTGTTTTATTATCTGTTTCATATTTTATCAAACATTAAAGAATTTTTCATTAACAAACTCAAGAATTTCAAAGCGAGCACTGGCAACATGTTATGAAAAAAAAAAAAAAAAAAAAGAAACATTTTTATCTCCACCGCGCGAGACTGTGTATCGAAAATTCTAGAGATGTGCTCTTTTAAATATTTTGTGATGTTGCTGTTGAATTGAATTTTATGGTTTAAGTGCGAAGAACATGGTATTTAATAAGTAAAGGTAATACACAAAACGTTAAAAAAGCTTCCCTTTGGACTTGTAATATAAAATCTGAAAGCTTTCAAATTTTTATTTTTTTAACGTTATTTCATCGATATTATCAATTTCTTTTATTTGATTAGGAATAAAGTGGTGAGTAATGTATGTTTGAAGAAAATGTAATTGATTACATACATCATTGGGAAATAACCCATTTTAAATACTCTTCTTCGCTGCAAATGAGATATCCATATACTATGATGGTATTATCCAGCAATGCGATTTCAAATTTTTATTTATACAATTGGACCATGATCTGCGTAGACTTCTTAAGTCAGCTTTTCTCGCAGTAGTGAGCTAGTATCCAAGTTCTGCCTTCTCCTTAAAACTTATCTAATAATAACCTATTCATTACTGAAAGCCTTACTGATAAGATACAGCAAATGAAATGCATTATCTGTTGTGTATTTGCTATATGGCTTACGCTAAAGCAAATTAGTAAAAACGCTTTTAAGCAAGAAATCATAAAAATAAAAAGAAGTTAGTAGTATTATACTTCATTTATCGCTATCATAAATTCAGGTCATATTTGTTTTTAAAATAATCAAAGCAAGACAGCGAGAATCAAATGAACGAGTTGTATGGCATAGTTTTATCTTCTTTTAATTAAAACCTAAATAAATATTTACATGCATTACACAGAACAAACTATAGGCCTGAATTCAATTACAAAACTTAGTGGGAACTTAATAATCTCATCAAATATTTCTCATATTTTAATAAAACTGCGTAGTGCAGAAAGTATAAACAAAGAAACCGAACTGCTGATAATTTTTTTTACATTCCCGAACGTCCATATAGAGAGGAGCTAAGGACATATAACGCAATTTTTTGACGATATCAACAAATACTTCTAAATTTATGAGAATGTAGTCTATTCCTAGTGTACTCAGATAATATCGGAATAATTGTCGATTTTTCATCTCGCCCCAATCAATCCTTGATCTCGCTCAATAAGAGAAATTCTTTTAACACATTGATCACGTCAACATGCGGTCTACCATTACGTTACTGGGGTAGAATTACTGGAAAATGATCATTAACTGGAGGTAGTTAAAAGAGTAAAGGAAATAAGAAAAGAAAAAAAAAAATCTGAAATGTTTCAGATTTTAAATTACGTCCAAAGGAGTGTTTTTTAACATTTTGTGTGTTACCTTTCTTTATTAAATATCATGTTCCTCGCACTTAAATCATAAGATCCAGTGCAACAGCAATATCGCAAAATAGTTTTAAAACGAGCATATCTTTAGAATTTCCGATACAGAGACTCACGCGCTGGAGATAAAAATGTTTTTTCTGCACAACGTTGACATTGCTCGCTTTGAAATCCTTGAGTTTGTTAATCAAAAATTTCGTCAAAGTTTTAAAAATAGGAAATCGATCATAAAACAAATTTCAAATTTCAAATTTGGTCTTCTACATGCTCATATTCGTTGGAGGATTACGTTATTCAAAATTCGATGACTCTATGTACCGTTATTTTATGACAATGTGAGAAATATACATACATTTACGCAGATTTTCATTATTTAATTTCTTCAAATATAATGCAGGACTCTAACATTTTATGGCAACAGTTTGAAAAGTGAACCGACATTTATCCGTCCGACGCAAAATGCCAAAACGAAACTAATAGTCCTTCGGTATTCAAATCCCTTTGGACTAAAAAACCAAGACCAGTTACGCAAGCCATTAAATTAAACAAATAAGAAAAATCTGAAAGCTTTCGGATTTTATATTACGTCCAAAGGGGCGTTTCTTTAACATTTTGTGTGTTACCTTTATTTATTAAATATCATGTTCGTCGCATCTAAACCATAAAATTCTGTTCGATAGCAAATATCGCAAAATAATTTTTAAATGAGCATATTTTTAGAATTTCCGATACACAGTCTCCGCGCTGGAGATAATTTTTTTTTTTTTTTTTTTTTCTTTTCGTACAGTACTTCCATTGCTCGCTTTGAAATCATCGAGTTTGTTAATCAAAAATTCGTTAAAGGTTTACAAAATATGAGATAGATAATAAAACAAATTCCAAATTTGGACTTCCAGATTCGAGTGGAAGTTCCAGATTCGAAATCGAGATATTCGAGTGGAAGACTACACGTTATTCATAAGTTGATGCCTCTAGATACCGTTGTTTCATCACAATGTGAGAAACACACATACTACATTTATAAAGATTCTTCATTATTTCATTTCTTTAAACATAACACAGGGCGATAATATTTGGTGGCAACAATTTGAAACGTGAACCGACATTTATAGTGAATTAACGCAAAATGCCAAAACGAAATTAATAGCCCTTCTGTGCTAACGCCCTTTTTTGCTAAAAAAAAATCTGAAATATTTTATACTACGCACAAAGGGAAGCTTTTTTTTTTTTTTTTTTTTTTTTTTTTTTTTTTTTTTTTTTTTTTTTTAAAGTTTTGTGTGTTACATTTGTTTATTAAATATCATGTTTTTCGCACTTAAACCATAAACTTCAATTCAACAACAATATCGCAAAATAATTTTAAAAAGCATATCTTTAGATTTTCCGATACACTGTCTTGCGCGCTGGAGATTAACCCTTTGCGGCACAGTGTGTGCAGTTTGAACACACCTAAAAATTTTCTTCTGTACGCACAGAATGAAAAAGAATTTATAAGTTACTATAGATTACTCTGAACCTTCTTTATTTATAGTAGATGGCAGCTCAACACAAACCAGTCCATATATTTTAGCCGTGTTTAGTTTTTTAAGACCCTCATTTTTCAAAGAAATCTTCCAGATTTTTTTACGATATAAAAGGAATTGTTTGAAAAGAAATTTCTATGTTATCTTTTTGGCTGTATGCTAATCTCCTTATTCTATATGAGTTTTAAATTTTTACCTTGAAATCTTGCCTAAAATCAAACGGCGAACCCTAGGTGTGCCCAGACCGGGCTCACCGATAATCTAGGACAGCTGAAAGTCTGTATTCTTTGTTTCTCCGCATCTCATCGGTCAGTTCATGGACAACAATGCTCGTTTCAGCACTCTTTTCGAAGCTCTATTCAATCAGTGTATCCACTTTGGGCACATCCACAGAATTAAAAGATAACTGCTATCTTCACAAAATTTTACTTGTGTACTCCTCTAACTCTAAGCCTAATTAGACTGCCTACCTTTTATTTATTTATTATTATTATTATTATTATTATTATTATTATTATTATTTTTTTTTTTTTTTTTTTTTTTTTGTACAATTTGTCCTTCTTCGCTTTCAAATCCTTGAGTTTCTCAATCAAAAACTCATAAAAGCTTAATAAAATATGAAATAGATTATAAAACAAAGTTCAGATTTGTGCTTCCAGATGCTCATATTCGGGTGGAGGATTACGTTTTTCAAAATTTAGCACGTTATTCTAGGTAGCGTCGTTTTTTGACAATGCGAGAAAAATACATACATTTATGCAGATTTTTCATTATTATTTTCTTTAAATATAATACAGGGCGATAATATATGGCCGGCAACAATTTGAAAAGGGATTCAGACTTTTAAAGTTTTCGACGCAAAATCCCAAAACGAAATTAATAGCCTTTCTGGGCTAACCAGTGCCGTGCCTAGGCCATTGGCTGCCCACGTACTTTCCTAAAATTGCTGCCCGCAAATTTAAAAGAAATTGCTCAATGATTAATAAAATTTTTATTTAATACTCTCTAAGTACTTACATATGTCAAATTGTATAGAAAGTACTTACATATAGTAAGTTCTTATAATGAATTTTAAATATTTAAAATCGCGAGAGTCCGATCGCCCCTGATTTTGGCCACCAGCGTGCTTTTACGCTTTGCACCCCCGCTAGGAACGGCTCTGGAGCTAACACCTTTTGGGCTAAAAAGTATGTTAAGAATATGCACTCATGAATTAAAATATTCCGCCTCTAATGCAAGAGCAAGAAGATTCATACACATACAAAATATATACATCTACTTTACACATAATATGCATAAATAGTTTTGTGATTAATAATAATAATAATAATAATAAGTTAATAAATTCCTCAGTTTCTAACATTTCCAACACAACTTTTTCTAACATTTCCAACACTGGTAAAGTTTATTATTTTCTATGAAGTCTTTTAAGATATCTTGAGACTTACAACCAGGCTCAGGGATTAAAATTAAAATTATTTTAAAAAGTTAAAATTATTAATAACTAAATTATTTTCACAGAATTAACATTATCTCCCCAGGAATTTGTAATAAACAACGTACAGCGTAATGAGTGAATTTCATAACGAATGCTGTCTTAGAAGGATTGCGTTTTTGTGAAGTACCACAATAATTCGATTATTTGAGGTAAAATACACATAGCTAATAAATAACTAGATCAGTATTTCTTTAGCCTCAGTTTCGTAACGTCAAAGGGCTGAATGTAGGATGATCTTCAATTGTGTGTTCAGGAATTTTTATTCCTGAATTCTGGTAAAAGAACTGAAACCCGTACTTGTTCAAATGTAAGACAAATGTTCTTTTCCTGTTTAATATTTACCTCTGAAAAGCGTTCTAGTTAAACATGTATATACTATTTTATCATTTATTCCGTAGTTTCACGATGTGGGCGTTATCGCTTACTGGTTTGATGTGATGAGATCTGGGGGTAGGGATGTTACTAGTTCGAGGAACAATAAGGGAGCGTTGAGAAGTATGTGGGCAGTAAGAACAGACTTGGAACGTTTGATTGTTTAAATGTTTTTGAAATAAACCATTATAAACATTCACTTTATTTTCCAAAATCAGTCATGCACTTGCAAAAATTATATTAAATTATCCCAGCCTTCCCTTCATATAGATCGTTCCAAGTTGCATGTACAAAGGCTGTTCGTACAATTTTTAGACGATTTTGCTTTGCTGTAGAAAAATAAACTGTTTCGATTTTTTTTAACTGCAGCTATATTTTCGAAAATATAAATTAGCGTCTACTACTCGACAGTTTTGTTTTCCTGCAAAATGGCACTTTTAAAGAAAGAAGCAGTGGATGAAATGCCGTGTTTGTGCTCTTTCTGAAGAAAATTATATGTATCTTGTTTTATTAAGGTGTGAAAACCGTGGTTTTTCGAAAGCTAAATCTACGATATTGTCAGAAATAAAAGGTCAAGGATGTTAAAGTTTAGCTTCAAATGAATAAAATTGTTCCAAGTACCCTACCCAAGGAAAAAAAGGAATGTTGCAAAGTCAAAAATGTTGTTAAAAGAAATGTTGTTAAAAAGAATGTTGTTAAAAGAAAATCTTTGAAATCAAAGGACAGTTCCAAAATCATTAAAATGCTCAGTGTCAACTGTAGACAAAGTGTTTAATGCCGATTCTAATCTTAAAAAGGCGGAAAACATAATGTGCACCTTCTTTCTCCACGGCATATCGCCGAAAGCAAAACGCGCTGCAGAATTCTTTATGAGAAACATTTATCCGGGTAAAAATGGAAAAATGTTGTCACAATAGATAAATTTCTTGCGTGTATTGAAATGACTGCAATAAAACGAGACCCATTTATTATTATAAAAGAGGAGAAAAAAATCTTAAGACAATGTTGAAAGAATCTAAGAAAGTTTTTGTATAGGGATATATGATTGTTGCTGGTTTTTCTTTATAAGAATGAATCAAAAATAAAGGAAGTGGAGAAAAATATTAAGATTAAACATAGTTTTTGCCTCGTTTTCAAGTATTAAATACCTTCTCTTTATCCACAGTGCCATCTATCAGTAGAACAGCATCAAGGCAAAGCAAACAGTCACACGTCAAAATCCACTGTTAATTCCTTGGGTAAAATGGAATAAGGAACGGATATCAAAACCATACACTTCAAACATATCCTTACTAATTCCCTTCTAATCAATGGGTGATACATTATCACTCATTGATTTTTGCGCTTTTGAGCTTGGACTGGACAAACGTCGAGCTATAACCCTCCTTGGACTTTGTAAAGGTGTTCAAGAGGAATTGGATAAAGTAACTCTTCCGCTACTACAAAAGATTTTATAGTCTTGGAAATTACGATGTAGAAAGATAGTTAAGAATTAAGGGTTATCGAACAGAACATTTATAAACCCAAGAAATACAGATAAAATGTTTTTGTCAATGCAGTGAAAATCGTCTAAAAACTGAGCGAACTGTCTCCGTAGTTTCATTTTACCTTTCCAAGGGAGCAGAACTTAAAGCTTTCAGTATACTATCCTAAAACCATGACCATAACCTACCACTCAGTATGTTCTGGCAGAAATTTGTCTTATCAAATTCATTGTTGCAATTTCTTTGAAAAGTCGTTGCAAGTCTGTTCCCATGTTGCGTGATGTTTCTCAATTGATAACTTAATAGTACTACTGTTAATGGCTAAAAACCAGAAGTGTCATCGTAAAACTTAAAACTGTGAAAAACGTTTATTGGTTTTGAATTAAATCTTTTAATAAAAATTTTATTATTTATTTTAAATATATAGCTTTGGAATGAATCATGGGTTTTACTTCGAAATTTAAAATAAAATAATTGATTGCTGTCATTTTTTCGTTCTTCCGTGTCTACAGACTATGCATGCTTTCCTTTTACAGCATCGAATGTCGAAGTAGTTAACATCGTCAAAAGAAACTTCTTCGTTTTCCGTTTCTGGTAAAGTAATTATCTCTTTAGGCACTTACGTATTACCCCGTCGACCGTGAAACTGTCGCCAAGCAGCGCAATTTAGTGTAAGGTAAAGACAAGCGTGATATGTCAATACACTCTTAACATTAGCGGGTTCGTTTGATGCAACTCCGATTGATTCTTTGTGAGTCACCTTTTCCTTTTACAACCAAGGATATACATTAACTGTAATTTTCCCCTGGGAAAAAATGATTAAAATTTATGATATGCCTATTACAAAACAACTGCCAGTTGACTATTTTCAAAGTTATTGGGTCCTGCCACTTAAAAAAAAATGTTAATGGACACAATATAATCAGCTGAATATGGCCAGTAAACAGTTGTCATTGGGAAGCTTATACTCATAACGCTCCAAACAGAGCTTCTGATAAATTCAGAGGATCTACCAAATTAGTAGAAATCGACGAAACCCTTTTTACATAGGTGTCACTTCCTTCAGAATTTCGCAGGAAAAATTGGACCAATTTTGACAAGATTTTAACCAACCTTTATGGTTTGAAGGTGGCCAACTTTCAGGGTCGACAGGATGATAAGTAAGTACCTCCTTTTAATTTTTTTTTGGGGGGGGGAATAAATACTTTTATACACATCAAACTCGCATACATTATGTCGCCTTACAATCCCAGCCTTTACGACAGTTAAAGTTTAAGTACTAGTCATCAATTTCAACTAAACGTTTATTCTTATATAGGTTCCAGAAATGTCTCAGACTTGGAAAACGGGCATTCTGTTATTAGCTGCTGTTGCTTTGAGTGCAGCTGGGATTTTGATTTGGAAAAAGAAGAAAAGAAGCTATGTCAAAGTGGGAAAGATTGCAAAAATACTCTTTTATCCTGTCAAGTCTATGAAAGGGTTTGAAATCACGGAAGGAAAATGCACTGGAAAAGGATTGGAAGTTAATGGTCTTCTAGATAGGTAAAAAAAGTGTTACTCTACCGTATATCCTTCATGGGCTGATATACGAGAACAACTCGAAAAATCCGAATTTTGAGTTATGGCCATTATACAGACCATTATACAATTTTAAAATGGTTTTCCCTGCGACAGTAGCATTGCGACACAATGTAGACAGTTTAAGTTAAGTTTTTTTAGTCGGACTAACAGGTGACAGTACTCTCTCTGCTGCATTCTTTAGTTTGTCGCGTAAATTCTTTGCAATGCTGACATTCGTCAGCTTGCTCCAGGCAACGGTACGGATATAAAAGATCTTATACATTAAATATGTCAAAGTTTTATGATAAATACTAACAATGATACCATACACCTTCGATATTTCTGTACTGAAATAAAAACAATCTTTTGATTACTTCTTCGATAAGACATTTAAAGGACAGGAATTTTAAAACTGTCAGTGTGAAAGCCTCCAGAAGCAGTTGGAGTTTACGATCCTTTCGGGAAACAAGGTTTAAAAAACTTACAACAAACCTTTTGCATTTCCTGAGAAGAAATTTGACGATCTACAAAGTTTAATCGTGGGTAATGCAATATTAAACTGCTACTCAGCATTTTGCCGAAATTTGAATTTGAATCACTGTAGATTCTGTTTCGAAAGTTATATAAATATAGGCTGTTCTTGGGAAATTGCTCATATTCTCTTGTGCTTTGATTAACGATGTAAAACTAAAACATGATTGCAATTTTGTAACTATGTACTTGTAGCGCCTGCTACAATATGATAACGTAATTAATAAAGGTTAATTTCTTATCACTAAACTTTTTCATTATTATAAGCCATTAACTTTCAGTACATTTCAACGTAATGAAACAAATTAGGTATTATCGTGCCCCGTGAAACTGTCGTCTAAGAGCGCGAATTAGCGCCAGTTGTAGATAAGCGTGACTTAACAACATCCCAATCTAGGATTTCGTTTGAAGTAACCCCGACAATTCTCGACAAGCTACTTTTTATTTTTATGAAAAAGCATATAAATTAACTATTAGTGCTGTATTATGGGATCCCACCATTAAAAAACAGGTGCATCAATGGAAACAATATGATCTGCTGAATACGATCGACAGTAACATGATCGAATGATATCTATGATCGAAAATACAGTTACCTACGGGAAATATGTACTCAGAGCGTTCTGAACGGAGCTTCCGGTAAAACTGGAGGGCCAAACAAAATTTAAAAAATGCTATGGAAGCCTTTTCAAAGGAAGGGCAAAAACGAAGTGAGACGAATTTTTATTGTTTATTAAATACAGATGTTTCAGTTCTTTTAGAATTCCACAGGAACGATTGGCGCAGCTTTGGCGAGATCTTTCGTGTTGTCAATTTTCGTGTTTCAATGATAGCCAAATTTCATGGTAGAAGGGATAATACGTAAGTCCCAGGAGGGGGGAACTGATAAAATTTGTTATTAAATAATAACAAATCTAGAACATATATATAATTTTCTATACAGAATCTATGGCTTTAAAAGCTTACTTTGAATTCAGCCCCTAAGACGAAATAAAGACACCCGGTTTGGGAAGAGAGAAACTTTTGCTTTATGCGATCAAGGATCAAGGAAGTTCGTGTTACGGAGTTCTTCGGCATAAACGGATTTACCTCCACATCATCTGTAGAATAAAATGTCATCATCAAAAGAGGGAATTTTCTAATACGGTAAAAATTTTGTTACGCCGAAAAAAGCTTTTAAGAATAAGTGCCTTCACACTGAGAACAAATATAAAAACTCAGAAGGTCTAATTTTGCGCCAAAATAAGAGCCAGAATAAATTAGATAGGGGCAGTCATCTTAGACAAAATTTTTGCTAAAGACTAGAAAATAAAAGCAGGTGTTTCCTTGATACTTGATCTTTCTTTGCGAACGTCAACTTCGCGGAGGGGAAAGGACGGGGGGGACGCTCTTACGCGTCGAAAAAGTTGCTGTGTCAGTTGGTCAGCTGACGGAGGGAGCAGTTTCGTTTCCGCCCGCTATTCAGTGCGGTCTTTAAGGCCAAATGATTGACACCTCTTAAGGGGGTGCTAAAAGCAAGTAAAAGCCCTTTTAGAAGGGCTGAAAGAGCTATTTTGAAGTAGAGAAATAGTCAATTGACTTTAGATTTAAAAATTAAGGTTCAGTCGCCTGCGACTGTAAAGCTTCTTCTTAAAGAAGCAGGAGGGGTTCCTCCGGTCAATGACTTAAGCATTCAAGACTCGAGAGGCGGGAAGGGGAAGGAACGAGAAGTAATTATTCACATGCATGTCAGTGTGAGCATACCTTGCCCGTTTAAATGGGTTTGCAGCATAATCCGGGTTGAGAACCGATCTCGGTCTCTTCCTAGATGAGGCGACTGCAGGATCATATACAGGTAGCATATGCAGCACAGGATTTGCAACATGTTGAATATTTTTGAAAAAGTTTTCCGAAAGTCGCTGTATAAAGCGATTAATGGGCATAATTTTGAGATCATTATGAATCTCTTCGTTCCTTATATACCACGGAGCTTTGAGTATTTGCCGAAGCAATTTAGATTGAAAAGTTTGGACATGTTTTCTGTTAGTCAGTGCTGATGGGCCCCAAATGGGGCATGCATAAGTCAGAACAGGCCTTATGATAGACTTGTAGAGCAAAATCTTGTTGTCAATTGACAGGTCGCTATTTAAAGCGAAGAAGGGGCGCAGATTGGATTTGACAGCCGTCGCATTCGCAATGATTTTTTGAATGTGAGGTTGCCAAGTTAATTTTGAATCAAGTAATACACCCAGATATATTTATATGAAGAAACCCAGGGAATAGGTTCACCGAAGAGAATTAAGTTATCTAAACGGGGGATATTTCTTCGGATGAACAGAGTAGCAGCACATTTTGCGACATTGATTTTGATTTTATACAAACCGAGCCAGAGTTCTAAGGCTGAAAGGTAACTCTGTAATGTAGAGATTACCGTGAAGGTGTTGGAATGTTGTGCGATGATGGCTGTATCGTCCGCATATAAAGCAAGATCGATACTAGGGGCCTTAGGAATGTCATTTACGTAGAGGTTGAAAACTGAAGGCCCGACGAGACTGCCCTGTGGACAGCCGGCATAGATTGGGCGGGGAGTGGAGAATTCGTGGTTAACTCGCACACGGAAACTTCGTCCGGTCAAGTACGAGTTAATAATTTTAATGAAATGAGCCGAGAAACCAAGCCGCATGAGCTTGTAGATAAGTCCGTCATGCCAAACCCTATCAAAGGCTTTGGCTACGTCAAGATAGACGATACCAGTTTTCTCTCGCTTGCGAAAGCCTTCATGAATGAATTCCACTACACGTAATAACTGGTGTACAGTGGAGTGTTTAGGTCGGAAGCCGAATTGTTCCGGGATGATCAAATTTTGATCTCGACAGAATTCATTCAGGCGATTAAGCAAGACATACTCGTAGATTTTTGAGAGAGACGAGAGCAGACTAATTGGTCTGTAATTGACGGGTAAGTTTAAATTTTGTCCCGGTTTTGGAATGGGCACGACTGCTGCAGTTTTCCAACAGTCGGGAAAATAGCTTCTCCTGAGCATTAAATTAATAAGGACCGTAATCCAGACAATAAACATTACGGGGAAGTTTTTGATCATGCGATTCGAAATTGAATCTATGCCAGGGGCCTTGTCAGGTTTAATTTTATCAATGTAAACCATGACTTCAGTTGGATCAGTTGGCCTGAGGTCAGGCGTGAAAGGTTGTGATAGAAAGTCTTCAACCCGTGAATGGATGCGCCCCTGTGTAACCGGGCGGTTACAGTAGGAGTCGTTGTTTGGTGTGAATTGAGTAGCAAGGCTGTCAGCAATAGCTTCGGCCTTTTCTGAGTCTGTGTAGGCCATCTGTGCGCCATCGGCCGTTTCAAGGGGCGGAATGAGCTTGTAATGTTTGCGTAATCGGGCGGCTGCACGCCAAATCGATTTGTTTTCAGTCGTTAGGGACTCAATATAATTTTTCCACTCCGCTTGTTTTAATAAGCGGGTTTCAGTCCTTATCTCGTTTTGTATCTTGCGAAATTGGACGCGGATACTGGGATCGCGCGACCTTTGCCAGATTCTTCGCAAGTAGTTCCGCTGCTTAATTTTGAATTTAGTCTCAGGTGGGAGTCTAGCACCAGGGTGCTGAATAGGTTTTGAAGCCGCAGCTCTCGCTTCTTTAAGTAAAGACTCCAGATTTTTAATCTGCCTGTCAAAGTCCGCATTGCTGGAAATTTGTATGGGAGGGAGTGCTGTGTTTTCCAAAATAAATCGAAAATCGTCCCAATTTGTTGAGACTCGCTCCTGTAATTTTGAGTAACGATTTTGAACATCTAAGGTTATCAAAATAGGATAGTGATCAGAGTCTAAATCTTGTATCACTTCAATTTCATGCCTAAAGAAAATATTATAGAAAGCAGCCAGATCGAGTACTGCAGGGGACCCTCTTACAGGGTAGTAAGTCGGGAGGGTAGGAGCTATGATCTGTACATGGTTACTCTGGCACCATGAATTTAGACTAATGCCATACCTGTTCCTGTTAGGACAAAACCATGCGGTATGACGTGAATTTAGATCGCCAGCAATGATCAGGTGATTTGAAATATTCAAAAGTTTGTCAAAATCACTGACAGGGAAAGAAGGCCTTCCACGTGCAGTTGATTGTGGAGGTAAGTAAGCTGAAACAATTGTGAGTGGGGGAGAATTTTGAAGGAAAATTTGGATAATAGTCGCTTCCAAAATATTTAAATCAGGGGACGGTATTATGTGATGTTTGATCGAATGTTTCACATAAATACAAGTGCCACCACTCGGATTTCTGCCTTGTGACACCCTGTCCGTCGAGTAAATGTCATAATTCCCAATTTTGGGAGTATTCCCTGAGTTTAGATGAGTCTCTTGGACTAAAAACACGTCAAGATCGTGTTCTACCACAAAGTCTCTTACTTCATGGATCTTGTTTTGAAGTCCATTGGCATTCCAGGAGCCAATG